CAGTCTCCAAATTCTGTCTTTATCTTCTAAGTCCATTGCTAATTTGGGGAACAAGTCTCAAACACCCAAACCCACTGTCGAGTTCATTCGAACTCTTTACGAACCTACGACATAGGACTGCTCTCAAGGGAATCTAAGACTATAAATCCTTATGGGAGCAAACAGCCTCTTCTTTCTCTCCTGGAGCAACTAGTGGGCTTGAACCATCGACCTTGAGTTATTAGCAGCCCACTACCTGCCTTTCTCCGACATAGTATCTATTAAAAATTGTATTGGAACAAAACTGACTTAAAGCAAAAAGCACTAGTTCCAGTGCCTTCAAAGACATTTGACTTAGCATCGCATACACACACACACACACACACAAAAGGAACTTACATCTCTATGAATTGTCTTGGGTTCGTTGGCATTCAGAATGGGAAGAACTTCTGGAAGCGAATTTACTCGTCGACGAGAGCCAGACTCCTGGATCTCCACTGACGCAGAGAGAGGGATGGGGCGCAGCTTATCTCTGATGTTTTCCTGGAAAGGATACAGTGACAGGGTGAAGGGCCCTAAGTCACAGACAGAAGAACGCTAACCAGAAAGTCCACAACCATGCTGTAACTTTGTAACGAATGATAGGAAGGTTGCTACGTTCAGATTCAGAAACACACAAAGGAACTCATCGAGTCTTCTCTACAAGCCGGAGTGGCCACCTGCAGCCTCACCTGCAGCCAGAGCTGCTCCTCCATGCACACCTTCTGCTTCTGCCTGTTCAGAGTGAGAACCCGCGTGTACTTGGGCTCCGAAGCCTGGCCTCGAAACTGAACTCTCGACGACAGCCCCGATTTCCGCCTTTCCTTTTCGGCCTCGAGCGTGCCCACGATGACTAGATAAAATGACCAAAGGAAAGAAAATAAATGCGTGTAAACCTCAAGTGTGCCCGTGTTACTGAGTCCCTTCAAACATATTTTCTCAACTTCTTGCAGATGAACACTTTCCCCTGCTGCCATTGTTCATTTGGCTGCTCACAGACGGTTCGTGGGGGGGTGTCACGTTTACGGCAACGGGCCCTTCCGCTGCAGTGGCTGTGAACAATGCTGCAACGTTAGCTTTCCATCAGGCCACGTGGGGGAGCTCGCGAATAAGGCAAAGCCTCTCAGCAGGGGCCACTAGGAGCTGTTTCTGGATGAATTCAATGATTCATAGACTACTACTACAGCTATCTAGAGGGGCAGGGCCTTGCGAATCGGAGGTTTCTACAAAAGCAGTACCAGGCTTTCCCAGAGCCCGTTAGGAAACTGACGGCACAATCCCTCTTCAGCAGGACCAGGCGCTGACTCTTCCACACAGTAAGGTCTGAGAAGCAGGAAGTGTGAGGTCAGGATGCTTGGGTGGCGCAAAAGGTTAAGCATCACCAGACAAAACGTCGGTGCCTGGAACCAATCCAGAGGCACCTCGGAAAACGTGCCTGGTGATGGGCTTTGGGAGGGTCCCGGCCTTGAAGACCCTCTGGAGCCGTCTCACGCTGTCCACCTGGCGTCTCCAGGAGTCCGGGTCGCAACGGCAAGTTGAACAACTCAACACCATCGAGTCGATGCCACCCACAGCCGCCCTACAGGACGGGCTAGAACTGAGGCTGTAGCGCCTTATGGGAGTAGAAGGTCCCCCTTCTCCCGAGGAGCAGCTGATGGCTTCTAACTGCCGACCTTCCGTGGGTAACCACGACGCCCCAGGGTCCCTAACTAACTAACAACAGATGGGGAAAGCTTTCCACAGGGAATGAGACCTTTCACTTTAAAATAAAGACAGAGAAATAAAATAGTGA